AGCTCCTGATTTACTGTGAGCTGCCCTGCTGTACTGTGAGCAGCTGGAGCGGGGAACCACGGCTGTGTCATCTGTTTCGCCCAAGGCAGGAATCCACATACTGCAGGGAGTGGGGACTCAGTTTATTACCCCCACCGAGGTAGATAAGATGTGAGTAACATGGGTTTCATCTTTGCCTTAACATAAGCTAAGGTCAGGCATTGCTAGATGAAGACCAAACACCGGAAGTGTCCCGCTCGGAGTTCTGCCAAGTCTGGGTTGGCAAACGTCACTCACGTCACTTAGGATCTGTCGCTCCTGTGGAACCAGCTGGTGGTAATGGCAGTGACTGGCCTTTGCTGGCGCCCTGGGGCCTTCACTTCCGCTGTCCCATTTCACTTTCGTCATCACCCGTGAGGGGGTTCCGTGCCCTGCTTTTGATAGCTCGTGCAGTAGAGGCTCTGAGGCCAGGGGTCCCGCCCCAGGTCCCTCGGGCATTGAGTGTACGTCTGGTCCTCAAGTCTCCGTGCTTGAACGGTTAGAAAATAAACACTTCCAGGTGGGCGCTCTCACACCCCTGGGGTGTGTGCATATTGAATGTCAGCCTTAGGCAGTTGTGTAAGTTTTATTGTCAATTTTTTCCCTTTTGTATGATACTTCCCTCAAGAGCAGCCTGTAGTGTGTAGGGTCTAGATGATCGGTGTTTTAGATGTTAAGTGTGAGGATCTCCATCAGTACCTAAAGATTTTTTTTTAAATACTGAGTTACTTTGACTATAATTAGTTCTAAGGCAAAGAACGTAATTTAGCTGAGAACATGGCCATTGCATCTCTGACCCACACATCATGCCAGTAGCTGCATAATCGAGGTTCAGTAACAGTTACATATGTCATCTTCTAGCCACCAGGGGGTGGGTGATAGGTAATATCTGAGTGTCCATGGCAGAAGTAAGTCCTGTCAGGATTACACTCAAAAGTCTAGGGGAACCTTCCAGGACATATAAGGAAAAGTGTGTTCTTTTTATTGACCAATGTATAATAAGGTATGCTCTCTATTTCCTATTTAAAAAAAAATAAAAGACTTGGTGGTTAAATGAGAAGCTAAACAGCTGTAATGATGTGAGGATCCGCCTCCTTCTGCAGCCCGGGTGAGGTGCTCGGACAACGAGAGTAGCATGTGAAGTGTATTTGTAAGGCTCCTGTTTGGTCTCAGAATCATCTGGTCAGTGATCCCAAGTGTTTTGAGGAAATCAGCCGGCGCCTTAAGCACACACCACACCACACCGCCCCGCAGAGGCGGCCTCACAGTGGAACCTGGAGCAGCACGGGCTTGAGCAGTGTGGTCCACTTCTACGTGGACTTTTTTCGATGCTAAGTACTAGCGTGCCCCCCGGGGTGCGGAGGGACTGCGGGTGCGGAGGGCCGGCTGGGAGTTACACTTGGACTTTTAAGTGCGCTGAGCGCCGGCGTCCCAACTTCTGCATAACTCAAGGTCGGCTGCACTCACCTCTCCTCCTTGTTAGGACCAGGAGCATCTGAAGGGCAGGGGCCTCAGACCCAGCACAGCAGAAGGAGCCCTGTTGTGGGGCCACGACACGACCTGTGGCCGGAGAGACTCTGGACCTCCGTTCTCTCGTCTCTGAAACAAGGGTTTAGGGTGGGTGATCTCAGGGGGCCTCTGGTTCTGGCTGTGCTGCAGGGTCTCCAGTCCAGGGAGGAGCATGAGCGGAGGCTGTCTGTTTACTTCTCCGTGCACAGCACAGGACTCACTGCCTCTCGTGATCTTGGGGTGAGGAGGAAGGATGGGGTTGAGCCCCCTTTTGAAGCAGGTCGTTATCGCTTCTCTGTTCCAATTGGATGCGATGAAAGATCATTATCAAAAGAGTTGTGTTGCCCAGTGACTGCTTCTTTCTGCTGCTTTCTGCCTTTTAATTGGGTGCATTTGTGGATTTTTTTCTTAGGATGTCATGATTAAAGGAACTTTGCTCAAATGGGTACTATTTTTATTAATCGCTAAATGTGCTCAATGTGAATTAGAATTGTTACAAAGGAAGGAACTTTATTTTACCACATTTGGAAATTATATAGCCTCATTTCAGAGTTCCGTAAGATTGACTGTCACTATGGCCGTAGAATCATCCATGACTCAATTTTTTACTCTCGTATCTCTGGTGCCCTCCTGCGTGGTTTGTGAAGTACGTTTGCTTGATTACCTCTGACAGGACTTAAAGGGCCCCACTTTTTCCTTCATCCCTGTTCCCCACCTCCCCACTAGTTTCCTATAGGTAGAGGCTTTTTATTTCTCGATTCTTCGGGACGCCTTTTTGTGATTACCTGCTGTTGCTCATGGTACTTGTTTACTTATGGCCTTGATGGTTTTGCTGATGGGAAATATTGCCAGAAAGAGAAAGTTGCGGTTTCTCACAGGTCACGTGTCCACGAGTCTTGAAAGTCACGCATCCTTCTTCTCAGCTTGTATCCATGGCAATGAAACATTCTCAGGAGTAGGGGGATCTGTAGAATCAGAAACTGGCGTAAAACAAGTCCTTGGCATTTAGGTTTAAAGCTTCAAGTTCCAGCCGCCCCTTAGTGTCCATGATTTTGCCGAGGTGCAGATGCTGTGGGTGGGGGTGTGGGAGTGAGACGCCCAGCGGAGCCCAGCTCCTAAGTCTCAGCATGACTGTTCTCTCTCGTGGTGGAGGCACTTCTGATGATGTCAAGAGCTCGATTTTTAGCCTCGACAACGCCTGTCCCGGTAAACCTTGTGCCCCACGCTCTTGTCGCAGGCCCTGCAACACCTTTAGGTGCTGGATTCCTCCAGACCAGCAGGAGGGTTGTGTGAGAATGGAAGGTCCATGGTGGACCAGTCCTGCTTCTCTGACAGCCATCAGCCACAGGGACCAGGACATCACTGTAAGCCACAGTCCACAGGCAGGACAGATGCCCAGAGTTCTGGCCCGGCTCTGGGCCCAGGCCCACCTGCTCCTCTTCATTCAAGGTCTCGTGTTATACTATGTCTTGATGGTCAGACAGACTTGAGCTGTGAAGGTGCCATAGAAGGGGTTCTGGGGTTCACTCTGCTACTTTGCTCTTCCTTGCAGCTTCCAAAATCCCTTTATAAATGTCCTAGTAAACTTTCCTCTTGTAACACAGGGGGAAATACCTGGTGAGCATAGTATAGTATTTAATTACAGGGTAAGTGTTTAGCCAGTAACTATTAGCTGAGTGATAAAAAATACTCAGTAGCTCTCATGAAATGAGTTGTTCCATGGCTGGGTGTCCTTGCCTGGCTGTGGGGTATCTATCCATTGTGTCTGCTTGAGGGAAATAAAGGTTATTTCAGTAAGTTTTTCATCAGAGCCAAGATCAGCCAAGCGATGCGCTTAGTCTGAGCATCACACGTTGCTGAGAAATACCTGCTTGCCACGTACTGGTTAACTTACCGAACAAGCAAATACGAGTGTTCAGAGAGGGCAATCCACAAATAGTCTTAGGTACAGTATGTACCAAGTTTAAATTTCATCCTCCCAAATATTCCCTGCAGGTGTAGGCATCCCCGGGTTAAAAATCCGCATTTCTCTTCGGCCCAGATGCTGGGTGAGACCCCTCTGTGTGTCCTCTGTGCTTTAAGGCACACGCAGCACTTTTCTGAGTTAGAATCCATGTTTGAAGTACACGTTTTTCAAAACTGTTACCTTGGTGATACTGATCGTTTTCACACAGGTTTGTGTGGCACAACGTCCAATCTGATTTCCAGCAGAATCCCGCTGGGTGAGAGCTGAAAAAACCTACAGTGAGTGGAATTCCAGAGACCTTTCTCCCAAGCTTTAAATAGGAGCTTCTTTGTGTCCACCTTATTTTATCTACACTTTATGATAATGTAAAGGAATTATGAAAACGTCATGAATTTGAGTTTTCCTTCTCTGATACGCTACTGTTACAGCAGCACAAGAGAAAGGTCAGACCCATACAGGGCAGTGATTCTCAGTTCTTTCAGAAACAGACCTCGCTGTATGTAATGCAGTTACACTCATTGTCTGGTCTTTGGTCCAAGCGTTCTGTTCTTTATGTTACAGCTGAAGTCAGGACACCGAGGGAACATATAACTCAGCAGGGAGCGCTAGCTTGCAAATTTATTTTCTATGCTTTTACTCTTTTGTTGTGAACGACGATCATTTGTTATCTTATATAAAAACCTGCTGTCTGATGACAGGTTTAGCCATGGTAAAAAGAGCCAAGAATAAAATTCAAATGCATCTGTGGAGTTCCAAATACATTTGGATTTTTCTGGACCACAGAGTTTTCATGAAGATGGAATATCTTAAGTATATCAAGCACTCGGTTTACCTTGACTTTAGAATTAGAAACAGATTTTAAAATATTTGAAATGCTGATTTCCTTTGTTACAGTAGATGATAACTGGGTATTTTTGATAGTATTAATGGTTGATAATTTTGTTGTTAAGCATCTTGTAAATGCTGAGCATTGTGCATTATTAGTCACTCATACTTATTCTCTCACACACACACCCATGCAAAACACTGCGAAGTAGATACAGTTACCTCCATTTTATTTATGAAGAAATGAGGGCTCTGAGAGTTTAGGAAAATAAATTGTAGCTGTCTGTCCATCCAGTGGGATGCTATGCAACCACTAAAAGCAGTGCCATGGACGAGCATCCGACACGGGGAACGACGTTCACAGGAGATGGCGAAGCGAGTGAAGCGGGTACCCAACACTAAGTCAGTGTGGTCCCATGTGCACGTTTCGCACAGACACGCACCCTCGTGGGTAAAGGTGTGGGAGGACCGCGCCCGGGCGGCCCAGCGCTTCCCTGCTTTCTCACTCACGTTGTCGCCTGGTGCTTTCAGGGTGTGAAGGAGCTGTGCTCGCTGCTGCTCCAGCAGTCCCTGCTGCTCCCGGCCCTGAAGCTTCTCCTCGAGAGCCAGGACGAGGGTCTGCAGGCCGCGGCGCTGGAGCACGTCACCGCCATCACTCAGGTACTCCGGGGGACTTTCCTCTTCTTTATGTTTCAGAGAAATGAACTCATGTAGCCATTCTCATAAATAACAACCACGACTTACCTAGGACTGTCTTATGTACCGAATTCTCTGAATTCTGTTTGTTTAAGTAGATACTTGTTTGTTTTACGAACACTTAACTAAGTTCCTCCTGTGAACCACACGCTGTGTTTAGATGCCAAGAGTACAAATCCATATGCCAAAGCGTTTCCTCCAGGGAAGCAGTGGGTTAGTCTCTTAAGTAAACGTCAGAGCATCCTAGGTCCACCGGACTAGTCCTTGCCACCTGAAATTTGGGCGAAGCACTCCTAGTGTCAGGCAGGTTTTCTAGGCCTGGATGTGTGTGTTTGGTTATCTGCTAATTAAAGGTGAGAAAGCGGCTGCAGGAAGTGCTTACTGGCGCCACGGGACGTCTCAGCTCGCGTTTCCCCCCAGCAACCTACACACCACTGAAGCCGCCTCGCCTCGCCTCCCGGCTTGAAGATGGGGCGCTGGTGTCAAGGCTCGAGATCCCACTCAAGGCTGGTTGTCTTGTTACCATGATTGAGGGAGAAACTTTCACTTCCCTTTTTAAACTTCACACTTTAGGATTAGATAGCGCAGGGTTGTGTTTTAACGAATTTGTGTTTTATGATCGTTATTGAAACCTCTCTGTAGGGTGACCTTCTTTCATCTGAAGCGTGTGTGTGTGTGTGTGTGTGTTTTAACAAAAATATAAGAGGGTGTCTTCCAGGCACCAGAAAGGAGAGGAGAATCCTACTGCAGAGGTGCAGTGAAGAGACTGATTAAAATTCGCCATGATGTAAATTTTGTTAATGACAAAGGAGGCAGAAAGTGAAACGTAATTGCATTTGGAAATAGTCATAATGAACAAAATGAGAAAAATCTAGTACCTTTATTCATTTAGATGTATTTTCAAAATAATGCAAAGCTTCTGTGAAGACTTTGTGAGTATCCGTCATCACAGATCAGTGCGTAACAGGGGCCTTTTCAGAAATCAGTCTGCAGTAGGAAGGGAGGGGGCTTGTCTGATGGTAACCTCCCTGTCTTCTGGGCTCAAATAAAAGTTGCACAATGCTAGGGATTGACAAGAAACTAAGAGCTACAGTCTTTTCTTAGCCAATTTTTTATTGTAAATCCAAGAAATCAGGAGAAGGGGAAACTGAAGAAAATCAGGCTGCATACTTTCAATGTTTTTTTTTCCTCAGCACCATTGTACACTGTATTTGTATCTCGGCTTAGGTGTTCCCACTAAACTTTGCCATGGGCCTCTTTGAGAATAAAACAGTGATGTATTAAAAATTGCCTTTCCCTGTTCGTCCTGCATAGGGACTTCCCGATGCCCTCCAGAATTCCATAGGTCAGTATATCAGTTTTCACTTTAAAGAGTCTTTATCTCGAATGCATCAGTCAGATGTAACTAGAATGCAACTAGATGTAATTAGATGCAACTGGAACAGAGACGCCCTGACTGTGAACTAACCACGCCACCTGCTCTCACACACCACACACACACACAGTCAAAATAAGAAACCACATGGGAATGCTGCAACACCCAAGTCATTTTTAAACGGCACTAGGGCACCGTCATAACACTTCCACCTGCGCCTCTGACGTGCAGCATTGTGCTGAAACTCTGCGGTCGTGAGGCCTCGCTGCAGACTGTGAGTGGTTTGCCTGGGGTTGTGCCAACACCCAAAAACCTCTGTGGCCTCCAGATGCAGAAATCCACGCCAGCGGTGTACTGTGCTGAGGGGAGGCACCTCCCTACCCCGAGACCCTTACTTCTAGGAATTCAGTCATGAGACTTACTTGAAACTTCTCCACACTGAGTTGAGGATTCACACTGGGCTAGCTCCTCTGTGACCTTAAAGTGTGTTTGGAGACCCTTTTGCCTCCTCCAAAGAACTCAAGTGTTACAGAGTTTCCCAGTTTTTCAGTACTTTTTAACTTTTTATTTTGAGGTAATTTGAGTTTACATTCAGTTGCAGGAAATAATACAGATCTTTTGTACTGTTCACCTGGCTTCCCCCAGCAGCTCCAGCTTGCATAACTACAGTATAATTATAACCAGGACACTGACAGTGATACGGTCTCTGGACCTTCGATTTCATACTTGTCCATGCCCTCATGTGTTTGTCTGTGTGTAAAGTTCCGTGCACCATTGTCACACGTAGATCCATGTGACTGCCACTCCAGTCAGGGTACAGAGCATTTCCATCACAGCCCTTTATAGCCACAGCCACCGGCTCCCTCCCCACCCACCCAGCAACTAATCTCCATCTCTGTAATTCTGTCATTTCAAGAATGCTGTATAAATGGAATAAGAGATTACTGTAATTCATCACTGCTCTCCCAGCACCCTTAGAGGGTCATGTCACACTTTCCTAAGGGAAGCATTTCACTGGGCCTTTTCGCAGGGCTCCTGGCAGGATATTTTAGATTATGCTTGGCATTGCAGTGGAAAACAGAGAGCATTTGCTTTCTTTTGTGTGTGTTCGTTTTGCTGTTCGCTCTGCCCAGTAGTAGGGGCCCTGCGTTCATCAGCTTGTTTCTCCTCTATTGGTTGTGGACGGCAGGTCCTGTTGACATTAAGAGAAAAGGTGAAGAGCCTCCTCTGACAGGCAGTCCTTCCTGCACAGGGCCCGGATCCAGATGGAAAAATGCCGCCTCTCGCTTGCTGACGGCATGTGTTATTCCGCTGTTCGCGTTGAGATACTGACAGATTTATAGGTGCTTACATGCAAAAGGGTGATACTCAAGTGCTGATGCCTGAGGTTGTGCTGGCCGTTCAGCAGTGAGCCTCACTCCTTCCTCTGAGCTCTTCTGAAATTGCAGTCCTCTGGTGTTTGGCATGTCCTTTTTACAAATGGCCAACAGCCTCTTTCCTGGGCCAGAAATAGAAAGGCCGTCTTAGAAATTATATTGTTGATGAATGATTAAAACCCTCATATGTTCCAGACTGCTAGATCAGCCTCAGAGAGATTTAGAGCTCCCCTTCAAAGCCGCCTTCTTTCCAAGAAGGCTCTTCCTTGTGAGTGTGTTTGAATCTCATCTCTGGGATAGTTCCTACCAGGTGGGAGTCTCCTGACTCATCTCATCAAAGTAAGCAGATGTGTATTTATAGCAGCTTCATATACAGAAAAAGTCCCCGCTTCATGTTCCAGATCTGTGGTGGCCTCTGCTCGTCACTGCTTCCCCCTTTTCAGGACTGCCTCTGCCCCCACCCCACGTCCCAGGGACTGTCCTGGACCACGTGCCTATTAATGGAATACTTTATGGGATTATAAAGGAAGTGTTTAAAACGTTTAGCCCCTAATTGTTTCTCCCTGATGCTAATAGCAACCATCTCCCAGTACCAACTTCAGAGTCTGCCCTCAATGGTGCTGCTGCTTTCGACGGAACTGGGCAGGCTCTCAAAACGGAGGAGGGTTATCTCTACAGAGAAATGAGGGTGCTGAAAGCATCTCGACCCACAGAATACCAGCGCTGGGAAGAGAAGTGCAGAGCGAGTCTGACGGCCTGCCTGGCATGGGTCTCCTCTTTAAACCTGCTGAGTCACTGGGCCCTGGTCGAGTCCGATAGGAGGAGGGAGCCCGCCGTGCTCCGTGCCGCGGTTTGAAAGCCCTCGTAGGGGAGCGCCTCTGGGATGAAGGCTCGCCCTGTGTCTTGAACACGTGGGTCTCAGTCCCGCCCTGTGTTGTTGCTCAGAATCAGTTGCTTCCACAGGGAAGCCCTTCATGTTTTTAATAAATGTGATTATTATCCCCTTTAATTTTGCCATGAAGGCACTGGAACCTACCAGTGGACTCACAGTGACCAGTGTCTCGGTGGGAGGGTGAGCTTTAAAGATCCTCAGAAAAGCCTGCTTGGATGAACATATTTACAGTAGACCCTGGGACATCCCAGCAGTTCATCCAAGCGTAACTGAGAGCTGGCCGTCCCCATCCAAGGTTCCTCCACATCCGTGGATCCACCCAGCCAGGGACTGTGTGGCGCTGTAGCATTTACTGAAAAAAATCCACATATAAGTGGACCAGCGCAGTTCAAACCCACGTTGTTCAAGGGTCAGCTGTAGATAAAACCATGAGGCCTCCCTTCCTTCATTCCCCCTTCAGCTCCACCCAGATTTCTAGCTAGTACCTCCCAATGGGGGTCTGTTCCTCTGTGGTCCTCCTTCATTTTTGCCTCCTCCGCGTTGAAACCAGGCTCACACTCTTTCCTTCGTGCCTCGGCGGGCTGTGCTAACAGGCGCATTGGGCTGGGGCCTGACAGTCTTGCCAAGTCCTTCTTTGGTTTCAGCCCTAATGTCAGCTGGTTTTCTTCTAAGTGTATCCAGACCAAGCTAGGCCGATGTGACCCAGTCATTCAAAGAAGAATGAAGTGCGTGCCTTCCTGTGTATCTTACAGATGTCAGCTGATACTAAACTGATCCCTTATTACATTGCTGTTCTTTTGACTCTTTGAGTACCAGGCTCTTTTTCGTAGAATTTTGGGCATTTCTGCTTATTTCTAAATATCATTTTACCCTGAACACACCTAGATGTGTTACTTTTATCCATCATCATTTGTCCTCAGCCAGTGGTTGGTCTTCTCGATGAAGGAGGCTCTGCAACCACATATCTCCCGATATTCTTGGCTGGATGCCTCTAGTGACAGGCAGCTCACTCCCTGTAGGTTAGCCTGTTCCATTTCTAGACAGCTCTGAGGGTTGGTTGACTGACTTAGTGTGAACAGGCATATTAAGTACCCACCATGTCCAGCCTGGTACCGTGAGGAATGGGTAGGACATTTGTAAAGATGAAATACAACACTATCCCTGTGTGCAGAGGAATTATCTCCTGGGGTGACTGACATGAAACAATAACACATGAAATTGAGCAGAGTAGGAAGGGGCCATAGTGTGGGACTGGCCAGACTCAGGGTCCAAAATGGAGCATTTGATTCTGGTCATTGAGGTGATCAGGCCTGGGTCTTCA